ATTTAAAAATAAAATTAAAAATTTCCTACAGGATAACACGTTTTATTCTGTCAAGGAATTCACAGAGTTCATGACGGCTAGATTCACTTAAGCAATCCACTTGCTAATTTATTTATTATGTGTTCACTCAATGTTGTTCGTACCTGCACGTAAAGTTTGTTATTTTTTCACTCTGTATGACGTTTCAATGTCTGTGATGCACAGTTTCAAGAATAAAGAGCTTATTATTATATTATTATTATTATGAGAAAATCTTTAACAATTTAGGTAAGCAATTTTTCGGAAGAACTTTGGTCGAAAATTTTGTTATTTGTTTTTATTTATTTATTTATTTTGCCTTTATTTTTGAGTGGGCGGGGTTTCAGCCGAGGCTGCTCTACCAACCCAACCCACTATACATTTACAAATATCCATGCCCGAACCCTGATTCGAACCAGGGACCCTAGCACCACAGTTCAGCTTTAACTGAACTGCGCCACGCGAGCCGGCGCACTCTAATTTCACTCTAATTGTTTAAATAATGAAAATACAGAAAAATGTTCAAATCAAAAATTATAGGCAATGCATTTACCTATAACATTTGTCGGAAGTTTTCTGATATCTTCATTAGTTTTTGAAATATACCAAATTTTCCTAAGAGTATTTTTAACCATCATCAATTTTCAAGTTTTTAATTTTAAGATAGTAAATAAAACAATGACACGTAGAAACGTAGAGTTTTCATTTATTAATCATATAGAAATCAATCAGTATCATTCGTCTTCCGAGCTCAAATATAACTCAATATCATTTTCACCTTCACTGAAGTTATCCGCAAAATGTGAACCTTGAGTGTCTTGATTATCACCATTTATAGTTGTTTGAGCGTCGAAGTCATCATTATCTTCATCTTCGTCAATATCTACGCTGTTTTTTTCTAAATTAGTACAATTTCCCGTTTGACAGTGACCACATGCAGGTGAACAAGGTAGCCCAGCTTTTCTACAGCCGCAAGCCTTTTTACAACCAGTTTTGCACTTACAAAAGATCATATTTAAAATTTCAAGGGCTTGCTTCATTTTTATAGGCATTAAAATATCTTGTTTTTGCCAACCTCAGGATTCAGGAGAAATTGTTGTTGAATCTGATAATACACTCTAAAAACATGTTGTCTTGCAGCGTCCGATGTAGGTGAAAGAGTGGCCAAATTCACTGCTTTTTTTTAACAACAGATTTTGTGAACATTATGTATCTAAGTTCATTTAGACTTTGAACTTTTGTTGGAGTTTTATATATATGTAAAAAGTATTTAACACCATTTTCAAAAATGAGATTTTTGTCGGCATTTTCTCGATAAAAATAACGAATAGCATCTCTCAACGTTTCGTTATTATTTTTTTTCAGTGCATCACAACCTTCAAATTATTAACTATTAAATCAAGCCTTTAATAAATTCGGCTCACGGGACGTTCGCGCGCACCCACGAATCGACTTCCGCTGAAATCAATTATATCTCGTACACTTTTCAAGTTACAGAAAAACTTTTCAGACAAATTTTGTAGATAAATGCATCAGCTACAAATTTTAATTGAAACTTTTTTCCGTATATTTAATATTTAAACAATTAGAGTGAAAAAACGAAAACAAAATTTTTCACTCGACAATTTTCCGGAAAATTGCTTCGTAAAGAATTTTTCATAATAAGCACAATCCTTTTGAATACTCAAATTTGAAATTTCAGGAGGTTTTTATTTTTTGTGAAGCTTTATGTGTACTTTGACCACGCTATATAGGGACACCCATCTCTACCTCGTGCTTGCGGACCCCGCCAGATTTACATGCCCTCTGAAGCATCATGGTAGTCAGGAGATGTTCTGTACCACTAAAAACTGGCAAGTGGTGGGATTCGAACTCACAACTTGTGAGGTTAGAGTCCGAGTCTTAAACCGCTATGACAAACTGACTAATTTATTAGCTAATTGAACGATACGCTTGGCCCTCGTACGAGTGCGACGGTTTTACCACTTTCTTTTACAACAAATAACATAAAGCTTAACTACCACTCTGGATATGTAATGAGCGCAAAGTTTTGCTTTCCCCTGCAATAATATACCTGTTGCACAAAATACTTTATAGATGATTTAATGTTGTATGTTCGGAGAAGCAAATAAAAATGAGACCTCTTTGTCTCCATTAGAGACTACGAAACCTACATCGGAAACCTTTAATTTCGAAGGAGGATATTTCGCGAAATTGTAATCATTCAACTGAAACTTCGCCCATTGCTAAGATTAACGAGTTATACAAATATTTGAAGCGCTTCTCGATACGCTTCACGGACACAATACCTTCTAATCCATCAATTTCGTATTGATTTCCTGTGCGCGATTCAATATTTACTTAACATACTTCGAAGAGCTTAGCGGGTCACATCGAAATAAGATGCGTTAAAAGACGATCTCACAGGATGTAAACCTGGAATCGCTAATTTAGGTATTCTGGTTAAATGAGCAATCGACGCTAACGGCGTCTTAGAGGTGGTCTGAAAACAAATTCATTTGTGCGAATACGGGGTGCAAACATTTTTATGGCCAAGAGGACGAGGTAAAGCAGTAAATGTTGGTGTCTATGCGAAAACAGCACTTATTCTCGCTTGTTACGAACGAGTTATGTTATGCGAAACGGTTCCTCGAGATTTTATTACTTCATAAAGTTTACATATTCGCCATTAGCGAGTGCAATGCTTTAGCGTTTTAAAAATTTTATTCATAAAGTTACCGCAATAGCGTGCATATTATCAAATTTTTTATAACATTGTTACAAACACAATGATCATAGAGTTTCCCAATTCGTGAGGGTCAAGGATGCTATATAATATAAGGATTGCTCGATCCCTATACTTGTAATGTTTCCCGCGTTTAAGTCATATGTGACGTCAGCAACGGACCTGGCTGTCAGAATTGACAGTTATAATTTGCTAAGTTGTCAACGTTTTTGCATTAGCGTTACAACTGTGTGTAGTATATAAGTGCTATTATGCAACAAAAATGCTTGGACGCCGACGTGCAGTATTGGACTGTAATAACAACTTAGGGTAGTATTCACATTTTACACTCAACTGGCGCTCATTTTAGCCAGTGTCAAAAAGAACGTCGAGAAATCGTTATTTTAATATGGACAAAGTTTAACTAAACCGATTTAGCTGCAATTTCCCTGAATGATGAAGAGCAAAAAAACCAAAAACGCAGGATGAAATGGGTTCACGACATTTTGAGTATGCGAAAAACTGAAGGATAATTTGTAGACTTGTAGACGATGAATAATTTTAATTTAAATACCTACCAATAACATCAATTTGGACGTATTAGAGCCCCTTCTTACCAGGCGTTTTTTGAAGCGACTGGCAGCGTGACCCTGTCACACGGTGCGAGTTGCAACGCAACAAGTAGCACGAAGCAATTTTCAGAAGCGCCTTCACGCAACAAAAGCACATGTACCAAGAAGGGGCATCGTTTTTAAAAAAAAATGGTGTCTGGTTTGGGGAGAGTTGATTCACTTGTGTATCATTTACCTTAGTAAAGAGCGTACATATGTACTGATATTTTGTATATACAAGCTAAGTTTGTTATGTTTAAGATTGTTGTTACTGATATGTGGGGGTTGTAGTTCGACCTTTGAAGGAAGGCGAAGCCGTATTAGGCTAAACACTTCATATTGTGTGGTAAAAACAATTGTAGCACTGTGTGGCAAACTCCAAAATTATAACAGAAATTGTACAGAAGAGAATAAATTTCAGTTCTTAATCTGAGAAATCTGAGAAATAATTTCTCATTGGGAGGAATGGATTTCCGCATAACCGTATCTTTTTTTCGAAGAAAATTTCCACTCTGCGCAGCGTTTCAAAAACGCATCGTGAGAAGGAGCTCTTAGAATCTTACATAATATAAAATACAAATGAAAGTGGTGCACAAATCGAAAAATCAAAGCATGCGGTGCGTCTGGGTCCGCCAGTGACGTCACTACACGCGGCGAAATAATTCAGTGATCAATCCTTATATTATATAGGATCCTTGCGTGAGGGTTATAAAAAGCTTTCGTTTATTAATGTTGATAGCTTTAAACTAATACTGAAATGGAAACAACACGCATAATCTCCTATTCGTCCCTGAAATTAGGTATACTATGGAAAGAGTACTATAGCACAGTATCCCGTTGGCCAAAATTGATTAGACGAAATTGGGCTAGAAATAGTTAAGCAATCGATTCTAGGTGCAAACAATTATGATTTTTTTATGGTAACAAATCGCTAATTCTGCAACGGGGGTTGTGAAAAGGACATTTTACTGATACGGCATTTTTCAAAATAAAGCATCTATTGCATTTTCCATTTAATATATAGATTGTTAATGTGTTCAACTAAAAGGAGTGTTTGTATTTTTAGTTAATTTTTTTCAATACGTGGACTGAAGGACCATAGCTATATGTTTTGTGGTTTAAATGCTAATTACCGCCGAACCATACAAATACTTCAACCAAAGTTGGGCACGTACCTGGCGTGGCTGAGTTGCTGATTTCTGTGAGCTGCTGTACCGGCTGAATGGGGGCCCCCAAAGATGGTTTCGGTTTTTCACTTTTTCAATGAATAAAATGCACGTGAAAACTCGTTCATGCTTTACTGGTTCGCACATAGAACTTCTATCTCCCCTTCTCTCTTCATTTTTAAAGTGTTTTCGCGACTCCGCCCGAGTGCCCGATTGTACTTGTATGATTTTAAAATTACGCGCCGAAACAACTGAGGTTTAAACATTTTTCCGCCCACTAAAACGGATGTTTTACAAATAGAAATGCATAATTATAACACAATTACCCACAAGGAAAAAAAAAATCAACTAATAGAATTTTTAAACTAAATTCCCAAGATTTGCTCTTGTAAATATTTCCCCTTACCAAAAAAAAAAAAAATTTTTCATTTGAATTTAGGACATTGCACAACAAACAACATATCTATGGTTGGTACTTATTTATTGATCTTGAGTAGGTAAGGGACATAATTTAATAACAGGACGCTTAAACAGTCCGTTTTGTGTCCTTACCGTGACAACTCGTGTTTGGCCGTCTGGGCCAGAATGTAATTCAACTATGCGGCCTAATGCCCAATGCAAAGGTGGCTTGGTGTCATCCTTTATTAAAACCAAAGTATTTAATTGAATTTTTACAGAAGGATCTGTCCACTTAGTGCGCTGTTGTAGGGTGTTCAAATACTCAAGTTTCCAACGTCTCCAGAAATCAGATTGTAGTCTTTGTATCAATTGCCATCGAGATAAAGTGTTTAATTTTAAATTTTCAAGATTCTCATCTGGACAAGAATTTAAGGGTTCAAGAGTTAGAAAATGTCCTGGAGTTAATGGAACTAAGTCGTTAGGGTCGGAGCTTTGCGCACAAAGAGGACGCGAATTTAAAAGGCTTTCGATTTGTGTCAAAAGTGTCGACATTTCTTCAAATGTCAAAAGTTGCTGACCTATTACACGTACTAAATGAGATTTCACTGATTTAACGCCGGCTTCAGCCAGACCATTAAAATGTGGGGCGCCTGGTGGGTTGAAGTGCCATCTAATTTGCAAAGATTCTGAGGCGAATTGAGATAATTTTTCTAATTGGTTTCTAGCTCCTACAAAATTTGTACCACAGTCGCTGAAAATGTTGGTGCATTTCCCGCGCCGTGCAACGAAACGACGAAACGCAGCTATGAAGGCATCCGATGTTAAGTCCGAAACCAGTTCAATATGGATGGCTTTAGTAGTACAACAAACAAAAATGCACACGTAAGCCTTCATGACCTTCGCACCTCGGTGCCTGCCCATAGTTATTTTTAATGGACCTGCGTAATCTAAGGCAACTTGAGAGAAACATTTTAATTGGCAAATTCGAAAGGAAGGTAAATCCCCCATCAATGGGGTAAAGGTTTTAGGTTTTACCCTAAAACATTTTACACATTGTGATAACACCTTTTGGATTGCTCGACGAGCTGATAATATCCAAAATTGTTGTCTAAGAAGATAATGCACGGTATTTAACCCCACATGTAAATGTTTCCGGTGCATATTTTCAATAAGTAAATGCGTTAATCTGTGGTTTCGAGGAAGAAGGTAAGGATGTTTTGCATCAAAAGAAAGATCGGAGTGCTTTAGACGACCGCCCACTCTGAGGCATCCGTCTGCATCGAGAAAAACAGCTAACTTGCGAAAAGGTTTCGGTATTAAGGCCTGAGTCCTAAGTTGTGAAATGACATCCGAAAAAGAACAACTCTGGACATGCCTGATTAAAATTCGAAGAGCATTTTGATTTTCTATTTCCGTAAGTACACCCCAATGATCTCTTGACTTGGCCTTAGTGTTGCTAGTAAATCGAAGTACGTAACCAATTATATGTTGAATTTTAAGTATAGACGAAAATTTGGTTACTAAACAATCTAATGGGTTAGGATCCAGCGTAACAGCGAATGTGCAGGTTTTTTGTTCGGATAGAGCCACCGATTTTCCCAGATTGGATCCATCCATTGGCACAAGATCCCATTCAGCTCGAGGAAGTAAAATCCAAGGAGGACCTTGAAACCATAAGGGATGATTTATTAGGTTGCTGGGTGTTAAACCCCTACTAGCGCAATCTACTGGGTTTTCCCCAGAACTAATATGATACCAGGGTACCGTGGGTATGGTTTCCTGAACTTGGCTAACCCGATTTGCAACAAAGGTTTTCCATTTGTGCGGCGAGCTGGATAACCACGCTAAAACTACTTGAGAATCCGTGAAAGCCAACACTTCATTGATAGAAATTAGCTTGCTAAGAAGGTCAATAATAAATTTAAGCAACTCTGCCAACAAGGCAGCACCCAATAATTCTAATCGTGGAAGGCTGACCGTCTTAAGAGGCGCGACTCTACTTTTTGCTATAATTAAAGAAGATTTTACGGTGTCATTTGGTAATTCAATTCGAAGATAAACTGCACAAGCATAGCCTTTTTCTGAAGCATCGCAGAATCCCAAAAGTTGACACCTTTGTAGTTTTTCGGCAAAGATAAAACGCGGTAATGAAATTTGTGATAACCTCGGAAGTTCCAGTTTAAACTGCACCCAAATGTCACAAATTGGTTTGGCCGGGATCTCGTCCCAACCTATGCCAGAAATCCAAAGTCGCTGCATAATGTGTTTTGCCAAAAATGTTACCGGGGAAAGGAAGCCTAAAGGGTCGAAGATTCGGGCAATTTCTGACAAAATATTCCTTTTCGTAGGGGGTTTATTAGATGGACTATGGGAAAACGAAAACTTGTCGACAGAGGGGTTGTAAAGAAGACCAAGAACTTTTATATTACTAGAAACCTCTCTATCAAACGAAACGGGAACTTGACAATCGGCAGCAGCTAAAGACGACAATAATTTAAAATGGTTGCTAGCCCATTTCCTCAGCTCAAACCCACCGGCTTTAAGCAGGGCAATTATCTCTTTCTGTAAGGCCAAAGCAGATTCCAGAGAGTCGCTGCCAGCACAGATATCATCCATAAAAGTATTATTCAAAAGAATATCAGCAGCGTTCGGATACTTAGATCTCTCCTGTTTTGCCAGCTCTTTCAATGTTCTAATTGCCAAATAAGGGCTGGAGGTGACGCCAAAAGTAACCGTGTTGAGACGATATTGCTTTATGGGATCATTCGGATTAAACCGCCAAATTAGCCTCTGATAATCTCGATGTTCAGGCGTAAGTTGTATTTGCAGATACATTTGTTTAATGTCGGCCAGAAAAATTATAGGAAACACACGAAATTTAACTAAGATTCCAGAAAGATCAGCTTGCAATTTTGGACCGGGAAGCAACGTATCATTCAGACTGATTCCCTTGGAACCTTTTGCTGAGGCATTAAAAACGACACGGACCTTACTAGTGGTTTTTTCTACCTTAATCACTCCGTGATGAGGCAGATAACAAGAGTGTATTGGCTTGGGTTCGTCAGAAGCAATTAGAGTCATGTGCCCATTTTCCAAATAATTTCTCATGAATTCCGAATACAAGTTATACAACTCAGGGTTTTTAATTAAACGAGTTTCTAAAGATTTAAAACTACGGTATGCCATGGTGAAGGTGTCTCCCAGATCGGGCTCACTATGACGAAAGGGTAAAGATACGATAAAACGACCCGAGGGGTCTCTGGACACAGTTTTTCTATAGATCTCTTCACACTTTTCTTCCTCCGGAGCTATCTGTGGTTTCGCTGCGATTGCTTCCAATTCCCAAAATTTTCGAATATCACTATCAAGGGAGGAATCAAATGAAGAAAAATAAGTTTGCAAATGAACGGAAGGCGTTAACACCTCCTGAGTTTTTCCTAGAAGAACCCAACCAAATACAGTTTCTAACGCAGTGGGTTGCCCTGGTTGTCCTAAAACGCGACCTTCCTTTAGGATATGAGCAAAAGCTTCTGCACCTAGTAAAAGATCTACTGGTGCTGGGATGTGGAATCGATCGTCACCCAACTTTAAATTGGATATATGCGACCAACTGTTGGTATTTATAATGTGAGAGGGCATCTCTGTACAAAGATTAGGAAGAACCAAGACATCAAAGCAAAATGTAGGTTGGGTTTGACCTACGGGGCGAATACTGCAACTGGCTACTCCGTTGGTACAAGCTCTAGCTCCATTAAGACCTTGAACTGGTATTGAGAATCTTTTCTTTGTCAGACCAAGCTGACTTAGGCACTTTTGGCTAATGAAATTTGCTTGGCTACCAGAATCTAGGACTACTCTAACGATTTGATAGTTTCCTTTAGAATCCAAAATTTCCACTCTTGTTGTAGACAACAAAACTGTGCTTTGAGTAAATGCATTTGCTAATGACGTGCAGTAGTTTTGAACCTGATTTTCGGGTTGGGATGTACTTGCCTGTACCGACGATAAATTACTTTGGTTGTGTAAGGATTGTGCAGAAATATTTGCATTAGTTTTAGACGGCTGAGGAGAGCTTTGAGCATTAATCGAGTGCGACGAAGAGTTTATGAATGCGTCGGATTGTGCATTTGTTCTATTTGTCTCAACGGTTTGAGGTAGATGCATCATAGTGTGATGCCTGTATCTACAAACACGACAATTAAACGAAGAAGTGCAATCTTTCAACAAATGATTGTATCTAAGGCAGTTTATACAAACACGATTCTGTTTTACAAAGGAAAATCTTTCAGACGGGGTTTTGGAAATAAACTCCGGACACTGAGCTAACGGGTGTGCCATTTGGTTGCATAATTTGCAATTTTGGCTATTATTTCGCGCAGCCTGATTTTGGTTACTATTATTTTTCAACGGTAGATTTTTTGGAGGTGCATTCTGGTTTACAAGCAATGCGGATGTTACTGGAGTTTTAGAAAAACTAGGTTTTACGGAATTCGAAGGTTTTGAAAATTTACCAGGGGAACTAGAGTTTGATTGTGAAGTAACAAACTGAACTGATTCTAAGGCTTTACACTGCTTTTCCAGAAACTCTTTAAGGTCTTTGTAGGTAGGTATATCTTTTTCAGTATACTTCACTTCAAAGGCTGTTCGTGTGGCACTATCGAGTTTTTGCAATAATAAATTAAATAGAATGAAACACCAATGTTGGACAGGAAACTCTAATACCTGCAAGGCAGACAAATTTTCAGTAAATACATCTAAAAGATTCCGAAGGTCCTTATAAGAACTTGTTTTCATGGAAGGAACGTTATATATCTCATGCCAATATGACGCAGCTAAAATTCTTTTATTTTGATATCGATTCACTAACGTGTTAAATGCAATTAAATAATTGGCATCTGTGGTTTGAATTGACTTAATAAGGTTTAAGGGTTCCCCCTGTACAAATGAAATTAGGTATTGAAATTTGTGTATGTTGGCTAAAGAGGAATTGTTATGCACCAAAGCAGAAAACAGATCATAAAAAGTAGGCCATTTTAACATGGTGCCATCAAAAACAGGAATGGTTATTTTTGGTAATTTTATTTTTTCATCCTGGCTGTTTATTGACACAAGGCTGTGGTTCTCCTTACTGGGGAATAATTTATTAAATATTTCTTTTGTTTTGAAATAAAATTCATCGGTACTTTTCCTTATTACATCTTGTGCTTCAAATTCTTTTTCATCAATTAAACCGATAACTTCGTTATGAAGTTCATTAAATGATGTATAGACTTCTTCTAAACTGTCATACTTAATTTTGAATAAGTTATGCTGAGAGGAATCGGTTTGAGATTTGATAGCTAATGTGTAAGTCTCACTTATTCTCGTAACAGCAACCTTACGTCGCTGCTCCATTCTATTTAAACTCATAATCGGATAATTATAATGAATTTTTATTTGCTTGTAACTGATTAACGAAAATTTTCAAAATTCGAAAGATATTTATGGAATAAGCAATTTCCAAAGTTATTTGCGATGAGCAAAGAATAAACAAAGCTCACATCTAAATTGACTAAATTTGGGACTCCCTGAACAACAGAACATCAAATGGCTCAGTACAAAATACTCTACTAATTTACTCCAAAATCCACTATATTAACAACAACCCACCTTCATCTTTTGTATTATTTATAATTGATCCAATGACAAAATCCAGTTCGTACCTAAACTCTCTGACTTTACTTAAATATTACTTAAAAATCATATGGCAAGATATCTAACTGTAACAAAAAATAGAGTTTATTCGTTGTGCAATTTTTCAGTCAAAGGTGGAAACTTTACAAGAACGTAATTACTATGATTTTCAAGTTTTGGCTTGTTGTTTTGAACAATATCGGCCCCTTGACTGGCACCTGCGATAACAGCGTTGAAAGTCAAAGTTATGTGATAAATTTTTATCGCAGTGCCGCACAAAGGAACACGAACTATTTTAATAAATAATGCAAAATGGTACCTAACTACGGCGAAAATTAATTTAAACCTTGATAAATTTTAAGATTCACATCCGGCTCGAAGGACCAAAAAATGTTTGTATTTTAGTTAATTCTTTTGCAATACGTGGACTGAAGGACCATAGCTATATGTTTTGTTGTTTAAATGCTAATTACCGCCGAACCATACAAATACTTCAACCAAAGTTGGGCACGTACCTGGCGTGGCTGAGTTGCTGATTTCGGTGAGCTGCTGTACCGGCTGAATGGGGGCCCCCAAAGATTGTTTTGGTTTTTCACTTTTTCAATGAATAAAATGCACGTGAAAACTCCTACATGCTTTACTGGTTCGCACATAGAACTTCTATCTCCCCTTCTCTCTTCATTTTTAAAGTGTTTTCGCGACTCCGCCCGAGTGCCCGATTGTACTTGTATGATTTTAAAATTACGCGCCGAAACAACTGAGGTTTAAACAAGGAGAATATTTTGAAAAACAATAAAACGAGGTTTTCAAATGGAAAATGGAAATGTAACAATCAGTTTAATTAACAGGATTCAGGCAGGCACTTCATTTAAACGAATCTCCGGCTACCAGAAGTACATACGTATAAATTTGTTAAACACGCGGTTCCATAAACTGCCTTTTGGAAAGTTTAAATTCACTCCTCATTTACCCTTTTATTCAATTGTTTTCCCTCTTTAGGCACACAAAAGCGTTTCAGCTTCAATTTTAAAATGATGAATGTCGCGAAAACTTGTGGGTTAAATTATATTACAAAAATTGTCGCCCCAAAATCCCAACTTAACTTGAAACCGCTCATTCTTAATTCAATTACAAAGTATCTCGTCGCTGCCTCAAGTGGTTCCTTATTCCTTTGACAAATAGGGACCGACGGCTTACGTTCAATTTATTCCCAATGGCGAACCTCTGCAAACATCTCCGCGTTGTAAACTACTAAATATAAGGTCTGGGAACGTGAAATTTAATTTACTAGTAGATTTTCGCATATTACACGCCCGAGCATATTGTTTCGTGAAAAGCCAATATGAATATGTCGGCTGCAATTTAATTTAAAAAAGGCGTAAGTCGCAACCAATTTGTGTTTAACAAAGAAGGTTTGTCCGACGTAGCCTAAACACATATTGGCTTTCTACTTACACTGATTGCTTTTGTTCCTTTACATGAAATTTATTTATTCATTCCAAATAAACAACCATGCACTATAAAGTGGCGAAAAGTACCTAATCGTACCACAAACATTTCAGGGAATAATTTAACATGAAATAATATATCAAATAGTTACAAATATCTTAGATATTGTGGTACAGGTAGGTATCTTTTAGATACACAGTCATTGAAGAATGCGAAATGATTATTACTATTGGATTATTATTTAAATCAAAGCTCTCTACCGCTTGATAACACAGACACCTGCTCTTTTAAAGTTCGTGTAAGGGAATTACTGATGGACGCGAGTGAGTAGCCTAAGGGGGTAGCTTTTTAAGGGTGTAGCTAGGTTACTTTTTTCAAATTAAATGTTGTACTGGAATTACGAGCTATTTATTAACTTTCACATAGCACGTAATTCGTGCATAAATATTATTTGAAATAAGTAAACGGAGTAGATTCGAATAATATTTGACTTC